AGAATATTATGATCAACTGGAGCAAATGCAGCACTGAGATCCAACAGGACAACCCAGATATTTATATTTAAGTCTGCACGACACTAATATGCACAAATAAGTTATTGGTATGATATTTTATTTATATTACAATTTTAGGAGCTATGTTTTAGTTTACTTTTATTGTCCTTTATTTTATATTGTTCATACAGCACAGTGTTTTTTATAATCTTCTGTACGCACATTGTGAAAAGTTATTGAATCTTTAGCTGCTCATTCATACGTTTACATGAGCATGAAAATGGCTATTTAATGTCAGCATTAACTCAATCGTTTGTCTTTTCCAACTGAACGTCAACATCTTTGAATGGAAACGGATCGAATCGTCAGGTTCCTAATGATACCCAGACGTATTAGATCCAGACTGAACACAATAGAAATACAAATAAAAACACTAAAACAACCAGCTTTGTAGAGACTTTGAGTCCAAACAATAAATGAAGGAAAAGTTAGAGCATGGAATCTAATAACAAGAAAATAACTTTTAGTCAGAATTAGAATAATAAGGTGGGAATAGTTGGAAGGAAGGAGGAGAATCCCAAAGGTTCTGTTTCCACATGTTTTGTTCTGAATGATTGGCCTCTTTAATGGATTTATATTTACATTCAGGAATTGACATAATGGGCGAACTTTCTCCTCCATCCTGCAGCTTCTGATTTATAGCCTCTGGATCAGCAGGAGAAATGACTCCATGTGAGACAGATTTTGGTATTTTTCTCTACACTTCTGAACAACGCGGTTCTTTGTGTGGGATTATTTGCAGTAACTGCTTTTCCGTGGATACAAATTATTTGCCACATCTTTTAAATCTGAAAAAACCACAGAAATTAATTTGTTAGATCTGTCAGGTTGAGTTTTGTTACGTTAGGAATATGTTTTCATCAGGCATCTACACAGCCAGCTATGCTTCAGGAACATCCGTGGTGCGCATAGATTGTATCACAGCTGGTCCTTGAGGATGCAGCCTCGAACACACCCACCGTCTCCTTCGATCACAAATCAGGTGACGCCGCTTGCAGCCGTTACATGTGGGCGGGGCTTAACACTTTATAGGCACTCAAAGAGATACTTTGAAAATCCAAATTTGAAGCCAATAGTGTTTTTGGAATCCAGGACCAGACCTTATTACCTTTGTAGCATAAAAAAATTGATATTTTGATGGCAAAAATGAATGTCGATGTAAAAACAAGAAACGCCAACTGGCCCAAATTTATAAAGAAAAATAACAAAGGTGCTTCTATGAGAAATTCATGAAAAACGCTCAGCTCGGGGTGTTAAACTAAAAAGCAAAAAGTTAACACTACGATCAACAACGTAAATATGTCACAACTTAAACTGGAAGTGTTATTTTACTGCTGTGAACTGTTAATAAAACACCCTCACTATTTAATCAGCACCACAGATAGGATTGTAACACTGGCATGTTTGCTGTGTGCAGGTGGAGCTGGAGCCTACAGCCTCAGACGCTGTATTGGAGGAGGATGGCTAACATGACGGCAGGCAAACATGGCTGCTATAGATAGAACAGTCCAAAGGAACATGGTTTTCCAATAAATCTTTCACCACTATAACAAGAGATGATCTACTAAATTCCCCAAACACAATGTGAAACAGCCTAGAATCTTCTCAACCTTCTATTAGAACCATTGTCATGAAGTTAGCGTCTGACTGCAGTCTATTAGAAGCTAATAACAGTTAGCTTTGGATCATCATCTGGAACAGCAACAATCTAAGATCTAAGCTCCTCATTAGCCTCCTGTTCTTTCTGAACATGTTTTCTCGAACTTCAACATTACGTTGGTCTGGAACTTGGACGCGCTGAGAGCGACATTAGCAGG